CACAGCCTTCTGGTGTGTCAGCCACTCCTCATAGTTTTGTGTCATCAGCAATATATGCTCATGACATTAAAACCTTTCTCAAAATGCAAACGTTTGAAAAGCTAGCTATAGATCATATATCATGATTTTAGCATTTCCTGGCTGAAGTTTTTTCCATGCCATTTTAGAGAGGAGGGGTTTTCTCCTGTTTCTCTGTGGCAGTTTTTGGTGGCTTGTGTAGATAGCTACTGGAATTAGAGAAAAAGTTATACATTCACATTCTGAAGTGCTAGATAGAGGTGTGAGCTGTTGAGGGTGAGGCTGGAGATAAAGATGTGTGCTCACAGATCATGCCACTATCTAGAGCCGGATCACATCAGGCAGTGCTAACTGTGTGGCACTACAGCTCATTTGGTCTCCATTAATTCACACTTCTGCTGCGTGTGTCCATTAAAATGTTTACATGCCTATTATTTATATAGTGGATAATATTTTTACATGAGGTATGTGTTCACAATTGACAATTTGTAGTAATAAATTGTTTGGCAATTTCACTGGCCACACATAACGTATTTTCATGCATGAAGGCTGAGGACAACACGTCATGAAAGTTTGAACACCAGTGGCACCTGCTGCTCTGGGACTCTCTGAAGCAGAGCTTCTCCCCTCTTAGGGATGGGGGCACAGATCTCCAGACCGCCTCCCCTGGTGTGGGCAGCATAGAGGCTTCTTCCTAACACAGGGTGTCCATCTCAGTCCACAGGGACACAGTTAACAAAGCAGCACACTCCCCTTTTTCTTTCTACTCCTCGGAGTACCTGCCTTGGGCCACTCTAACACATCTTAATATTCCAGTTCCAGGTCCTCCTGCTGGTGTTAAAGCTGCTGCGGCTTCGGCCTCCACCGTCTTCGTCTCCTGGCTCCCTCCTCTCAAGCTGAACGGCATTATTCGGAAATACACCGTCTTCTGCTCACACCCCTACCCCACAGTAAGTCCCGTAGGGTGACCGCAGATGGGCAGCACTGGCATTCGGGGCTGAAGCCGTGTGTTTGCAGATACTCGATGCTTGATGTTCTCCTTGCTGCTTCCTTTCCTGCCATTTGTTCACCTTAACCACGGTGAAAGGTGATCCTGGGGCTATGGGGGACGTCTGAGAGTTGGTTTTGGTTTTTTCCCATCTATCCAACTTTTGCACTGCTTAAAAAAACAGAAATTATTTCAAAACTCACAATGGAAGTTAAGTATCTTTTAAAGGTTTGAAGGATTTTAAAAAATGTGCTCAATTACCTTTTATAGGACCAGATGCACGAGTCCTGTTACAAGAGGAGGCGTGTATTTATGTGCCCATACTTAAGTGTGTTTTAATCTAAGTTCCTGCCTTTCTGTGTTGAGTATTTATGTTTGATGGAACATTATTACTTATGAGCAAACACACTTGCTTGTGAATGAGCTTATTTATGCCTGGAGTATTTGCCCACTCTAGTATTTGCCCACATGCTATTACTTGCTGAGAAAGAGACAAGAGACAAATTGAATTGAATTGAATTATCAGGTATCTTTCTCCCTTTCTGAGAACCAAAGTAATCCACTTATCTTTAAACACAACAGCTAATTGCTCTTTGTAAATATCCATTGATATTTATCGTAATGTACTTTGAAAAAAGTACTTATTTAGTTTTTATCTGAGGTTTTGATTTAGTTTTTGAGCAGGAGTTCCATCTTTTTGCAAGTTGCAAAATGCAATCTTAGTTTAATAGACGAGGAAAATACTGTTCCAGAAGCAGGAGGAGTTTGACAGGGAAATTTCCGAAAGTGCCTCAGGCTTGTTTTCAAAGTTGGCTGAGGGAAAGGAAGGCCTGAGAGTATGTGTGACAGGGACCCTGCAGGCAGACACATCCTCACCCAATGCACTCTTTCTGCAAGTGAACTAATTCTGCAGGTTTTGCAGGGGAGATGGGGCATTGTGGCTATACTTAAACTGATACATGCTACTAGAAGCAGGATTTATTAGTTACATTCAAAGCTAAATGCTGGAGATCTTTGCTTCCTTCGTGTTCTGGGACTACTGACTTGTAACTCCATTAATTTGCTAATTGTAGCCGTGCAAACCGAACTATCTTGAGCATACCATTTAAATATAAACTAGATAGAGATTTTTGCATCATGATTCATATATTTTCATGGCAAATGGTGGGTTAAAGAAAGAGGAATTTACAGACCTAGATCTTGCCCAAGCACTTTTCTAGGGAGTTGGTGAGAACACCAGGTGGTGCTGCTGGCTCTTGCTGGTTACCGTGCAAAAAGCTGCAGTGTTGCTTCCTGAGGCTTTGCCAGCAATGATTTTTGAATGTTTATACATCATGAGGAAAATAAACATCTTAGCTCTATCACTGTATACCTCATTCCAATGTGGAGGCACTCGTTAATTGTTAATGTATAGTTATCCTATTGTTATTTGTGTGCATGAAAGGGGGTGTACACATATAAATACTTATAAATATTTAAAAATACATATACATATGCATATATACATGTATATGTACAATATGTACGTACAAGTACAGTCCTTGTAGTACTTCTCACCAGTGTTTTGCAGACAGCATGAGTTATGGCTTACAGAGCAGTATTTTTTTACAGTCCTCTGTGGTGAGTGAGGCAGTGACCACACTCAATGCCAAGTTGGACATCTTAAAATAAGTGCAAGAACTCAGGACACATTTAATATAAGACACACTCCCCCAGCTTTATTTCTAACAAAATCCTTTATGGAAAGCACTTTTTTAATTGTTGGTAAAGGAAGGCAATTTTTAGGAAAACATTTTCTCATTATCAGGCTGGATGTGTTGACAAGGGGATCAAGAGTTCTTATTGCAAGGCTTTGTGAAGTGTTGTAAAGAATTTTCCTTTCATTAAAAGGATCATGAAATAAAAAGTCATTTTATTCAGAGCTAATTTTGCAGTGAAACAAGCAGGCTGCAGAGGTGCTTGAAGGCTAACACTCCTATGCAAATACGGTCTGTACAACCATGCTAGGATTCTGTGATTCTGCATATTCCAAGGAACTTCTTGTATGATTTACTGTTGGTAGAGACAAACAGTTGATAGCGCAAGAGGTCTCAAATTAGTGTGAGGTGGGGAATAAATAAAAGACCTGTGTCTTTACCATCTCTTCTGCCACCGTAAGTAGTGAGTGCTGTAGGTGGAGGTGTAGAGACATAAAATGTTCCTGAACAGACTTCCCCCCTTCAGTCAAAGCCCTGGTTGCAAAATATCTTTGCTAGAAGTCTGATATTTAAGCAGAAAGGAAAACGCAGTTTTTAAGCATCAGAGAGGAGAAAGAGAAAAGGATGGCTATATTCTTTGAAGTTTGTATTGTACTAGCAGTATGTGTTTGTTGAGAACAAACTAGACACTCTAGACACTTAGACTAATAAGATAGTCCTTTACACAAAAGCACTGCTGTGATGTTTAAGTCACCAACAGCAAAACTAATTAACTCTGTTGATCGTATTGTGCAAAATTTTGTTACAAAAACCAACACTCATGACCTTGAGATATTGTAAGATGAAGATTTGCTGCCTCAGTTCAGTTTTGCACAGTTCAGTTTTCTTGACAAGGGCAGAAGCTGTTAAAACTTCTGCTGCTCCGGTATAGAAGGATGCAGACATTTTCTTTTTAAGTATTTTGAGTCCTAAGGAGAGTGTTTGCCTGGGATGTTCCAACACACAAGTAGGATTAATGTGTTAAAAATAAAAATTAGTCTCCATTCCAATCTATTCTCTAGCCAAGACAAAGGGCAAGCAAAGATCCAAAGTCATATTGTTTAAATGTTATGCATATATTATTATAGGCATTATTAGGCAGAAATTTCTCTTTTTTATTCTGCAAATATAGAAAAAAATACAGAATTATGACTTAAAGAGTCCTTTATTCTCATGCCCAACGTACCAGTAGGTACACTCTCATTCTACCCAGGCCTCAGGGAAGCAACGGGCAGGACTACTGGCTGCGGCACAATCTGCCATCTCTCCTGTCAGTGTAGGTTTTCCCAATGGTGCCATAGACATGGTCCATGGTTTGAATCCTAGCAAAGGAGGTAGGTGGTTCTGCTCCTACGTGCCTGTGGGCTGAGCTGCCTTAGGTAGCTTCTCCAGCACTTGCCTTGGATTTAAGTGTGTATTACCAGGGCTTATAAAAGGGTAAGAGAAAATGAGATTTAGGTGATTTCTGAAAAAAACCCACACTCCACGGACCTCTGGTTGCATCTAGATCAGTACACTATGTAAGGACGAATCAATGGGATTAGATTAGATAAAATTCAGATGGCAGAAAGTGCCCAGAAAAGGTCATTGTGTCACAAAACATGCAATGGCTAGCCAGCCTGGGAAACTAATCTCAGAACAGGTAAAAAGCAACACAGAAAGAACACAGGAGATTGAAGGTTAAGAATCAGTATTTCCTGGCACAGGAAAGGCTGAGAAAATATGAGAACTGACAGGGAAAACATAGAGAGATTAAGAGTTGCAGACATGTGGACTACTGCATCATCTGGGTGTCAACAAGCAGCATGACATCACTCAATCAGATATACATATGTTAAAATCTATTATGGTTTCTTGAACAGAATACTGCAGTCAATATTGGTTTTGGTGCTGGGGTTTTGTTGGAGTTGATCCATTGGTCAGTCATTCACTAATAGGGGAAAACATATTAAACAGTCTTATCCTGCTGTTTTCAGCAAAGCAGGTCGTTAAATTGTGCATCAGTCTTCTGCTTTCTCCATGGGATGCCTGGAGATTTATGGAAAAGGAGTTGTGTAAGTAGAACTGCATTATAAAAGGATAATAAGTGGAGACTGCACTCCTTTTCAGCAATTTTCCTTTTCAGGATATTGTCAGATGGTTCTTGTCTTTGTTCCACTCATATGAAGATCTGGAACAAGATGAATTCACTATTGCTCTATGATTTCCTAATAGTGAAAGCTAAAAGCAGAAAATGTTCAGGGAACTGTGCATAGAAAGTATTCAGACATGAAAGACTTTAGATACTGCCAATGGCGTAAAATGTCATAGGAGTTTTATTGGAGCCTTTCCCCTGTCTAACTTCGGAAACATCTTGGTAGCTATCTAATCTGTTTCTTTTTCTCAGAGGGTTGCACATTAGCTCTGACAGTATTTGGTTTCAGTTGTTGTATACATATTCTGGCCAACTGGATTTCTGTTTTAAACTTCCATATGATCATAGAATTTAGGTTGGAAGGTTCCTCTGGAGGTCATCTAGTCCAACCCCCTTCTCAGAGAAAGTTTAATTACATGAAGTTGCCCAGAGACATGTCTAGTGAAGTCTTGAACACCTCCATGCATGGAGATCCCACAGTCTCTCTGGGCCTTGGTTCTAATATCTGGCTATGGTATCCTGGTAAATATTTTCACCCAGCTGATCAGAATTTGCCAGGTCAAAATTTTCCTGCTCTGCAGTTTCAAAAAGAGCTTGACTCCATCTTCTCTATATCAGCTGATGAAATATATTTAGATGGCAATAAAGTCTCTCCTGAACCATCTTTTCTTAAGGCTGACAGACAGATGTGGCTCAGCCTGTTCTTTTATGCATGCACTGTGCTCCAGCCTCCTGACCATCCCCTGACAGTCCTGTCCTGTACTTGCTCCAGTTTGTCCATGTTTTTTTTGTTCTGGAGAGCCCTAAATTGAACAGAGTACTTAGATGTAGTGTCGTAAGTACAAAGTAAAGCGGACCTGATGTCCACACTCTTACAAATCTAGAGTTGCTAGTGTCAGACCTGCTTTTCTGCAGAGCTGCCATTTGAACAGTCATCTCTCAGGCTGTATTAGTGTATGGGGTTATTCTACCCCAGATGCAGGACTTTGTATTTGCTCTTTCTGAACTTAGTGAAATTCCAGTCACTCCATTTCTCCAACCTGTCTAAGTACACTTGAGAAACAGGCCTGCTCTCCAGCATGTAAACTGTTA